TTCCTGAGATATGGGTTCATAAGAATGGGATGGATAGAAAACCTAAAATCATAATGTCTCTGGCTGTGGCAATCAGTAGCCCAAAGGCATAAATATGGGGTATTAGAAAGCAAGACTATCATCTGTCCATTTACTTAGTTACTGTGTGTGTGGATGGGTGGGGTAATAATGTATTACTTACATTATGGGGGCCAAAACCTGTTAACACACTCACATTGTGGGGACTCAGCCATCCATTCAGAAATCATTGAATTTTAGGGTGGCAACTTGGTTTAAGGTTAGGGTTAGGTTAAGGTCAGGGTCAGGGTTAGGCAAGTAGTGGTTATGGTTAAGGTTAGGATACGTCTACAGGAAATGAATGTAAGTCAATGTAAAGTCCCCACGAGGAATAAAAACAAAGCGTGTGTGTGTGTGCTTGTGAATGGATGAATAAGAAGAAATTCTAAAGCACTTTGTCTGCAAAGGTAAAAAAAGTGCATTTACCATTTTGTGTTCCTGTTTTTTTTTCCTGCAGCTGTTTCACAATATAACACATACATAAAATTTTTTTAAAACTGTTTTTTCAACACCTACATTTCCTTACACTGCTCGATATACTGTATATAACAGCATATATCAACAGGACACTTAAAAGTCAAGAGTTTTTGGATGCATATTACATCACTGTGACAAGATGTGCCTCAACAAAACACTTAAATGCCCAGGGTTGAACCTGGAACCTTCTTCCTGGGAGGCTTATTTACAATATATAATGATGACTAAATAAAACAAACGGGAATCATATTTTCAAGTCGCACCAGGGTGCCTAGTTATGAAATGTAGTCACACTGTTGCTAAAAATACTCACAAAATGCCACTAAATGGTTGCAGTCTGGAGCCCTTGTGCTCTCCTTCTTTGTGCTGTTTTCTGCCTTGCACGCCTGATAATTTCATTCTCTTTGGCTCATGATGATGCACTAGCATTTTATGTATACATCAGGGGGATAGTGAGGTATGTTAGGTTTATCTGGCAATGACATGCTGACTTCAGCTCCTTGTTCACATCACATAAGGATTTCTAAAACTAGCAATCTGTTTTGGATTTTCCCAAAAGAAAGAAAACCCAACTATAACTGGTCAGTGCAAGTTTTATTCATTAAACTATAACTGGTCAGTGCAAGTTTTATTACATTGCTGGGACCTTTCTGAGACCCTTGTTGGTGCCACTCTGTGATTTTGTATTTTCTCCAGGTGTTAGTTTTCTGTGGGTGCTCCGGCTTCCTCCCACAATCCAAAGACAGCATGTGTGCAGTTTACAATTACATGGGCAGATTTACTACTCAGCATTCTTAGTAACTTTAAAACAACAGTAGACTGCTCTACATATCTAGAAACTACGTGGTCGTCTGCCTATATATACTGTATGTATAGCTGGGCGGTGTGCAAAATCTCCCATAACTGTTCAGTTGGGTTGAGATCTGATGACTGCAAAGGCCAGAGCATATAATTCACACTCATCAAACCATTTTGTGACACCTTGTGCCCTATGGATGGAGGCACTGTCATCTTGGAGGAGACCACTCATTTATCCAAGTTTTTACTTTCTTTTGTCACTGTCTGTGTCTGTTAGCCCTGTGAAGACTAGTAACCTGTCCAAAGTATAACTTTCCTCTCACAATTTAGGTCTGGAAAGGATGGATGATGTGTAAAAATTATATATTAATGTTCACATATAAGAATAAATACAAATGTAGGTTGCTAACAATGAGACACACACCTCAGCAAAGATTCTGTCTTCAGCAAACCAAGGAAAGACCAAGTAATGTGGGAAGTAGCACAGCAACATCAGATCAATGACTGCTTACTCTTCCACAGAACACTTTACAACTTGCATATAGTTTTGGCTGTAGCTATTTCACTTCTTCTTTCATTCTGGAAATGCTTTAATAGACTTAACAGTGATGAGAGTTAAAGTGAGTGCCTCTACTACACATTCTCCTGCTCTACATCTCCCCAGCATCCTGTACCCCAAACCTTTCACTTCAGCTCCGGCCACTACTTTACAACTGTGCGCATAAATGCTCACTCGAAGATCGCGACCCCTCACAGGCCCCAACAGGCTCATCAGTCTCTAGATGAACATAGAGTGAGAATATCCCACTGGGCTACTCACTGACACACTGATGGAGTCAGACAGCGTATATGTGGCTCACTCTTGCAGACGCAAGTTCTCACTGGGCTGAAAGGGTTAGGGTGATAACGTGCGCTTTATATAGTATCGGCAACATGATGGAACCTAAATGACATCACTGTTGGCTCTATACTTCTCTGTTGCGCAGTGTTGAGAGCAGTCAGGCGCATGAGAAGTGAGCGAACAGAATTTGTTTAATACAACAGGTGTAGAGTTTATAGATACAGTGATGCATTTAAGAATTTAAAAGTTATTTGTACTCAGAGTTTGAAGCTGTCACAATGTGTGCTGTGAGAGTTGGAGACGGTCATCTTGTAGACTTCATGTAGAACAATTTGCCAAGCAAATCAACTGTCATTTTGATAAGAGCTTAATGAGCATCTGTTAACAGTGTCTCTTAGACACAGAAGAAATGACTTAACTTGTTTTTCTTCTTTTTTTTTCTTCTTGCGTGGCTGCTCTCCATTTTTGCTTATCTTTTTATGTTGGCAGCCTAGGCAGCTTATGGTATTGTTGTATTCTGTGGCTCTGGCTAAGAATGTCAGCTAAATGCCTGAAATGCAAACTGTAAATGCAGAGGGAAAATGTTCATACAGTTATTACTCTTTTATGCTGATTTGGATGGCATTCTAACTCAAAGACCTTAAAATGTATTTATATGTTGCTTGCATATCTCATCAGAGCAGTATACTGAGCCTGTGATTGGAGAGTTCATCATCTTTGGGGTGAATGTCATAAATACTGTTACTAGCTCTTGTTCACTGATTACTTTTATGATGCTGTATTTATGGCTTTTGTCTGATCTCCAGTTTTTCTCTCTTGTTGTCTGCCTCAGGATCTGAAGAAGGTGCTGTCTTTCCCCCCATACCCTGGGGAGTTTTTGCACCCGGTCGTGTATGCCTGTACAGCAGTCATGTTGCTCTGCCTCTTCGCCTCCATCATCACGTACATAGTGCACCACAGGTAAGAAAAAAATCACCACAATGATTCTGGTGAAGTATACTCTGATCAGCCATAACATTAGGAGTCAGTGAGGCAAATGCTTGGCACTCATGTCACTCTGAGGCTCACAGCACAACTTTTGTGAATGTGTTTGCTTCCATAGTTATACTGTCCGTCTCGTGTAGTGACAAAATATGTTAAGAGTTAAGAATGAAAACTGTGGTCATGAGCACAAATTAGAAATTTCTGGACAAATTCAACAGCCAGGATCTGGGGTTCCAAACAGCAGCATCACCTATTTTTTGGTAGCACTGCAGTACTGACTGAAGAAAAAATAAAATAAAATAAAAAACTGCAATAACAGCAGGTTCAATTACAGAGCGACTGACGTTCTTGATAAAATTGAAACTTAAATTGTTTCCAGGCACCACTTTGTATCCTGGTGTCTCTGTAGGATTGGTGGCTTTAGTTAGAGTTTTGTCTTTTATTCTTAGTGAAGCTTAATTTAAAAAAAAAAAAAAAATGCAGCCATGGCTTAGAGGGTTTAAAAACATAATTAGAGGAACGAGATGAAGACTGCTAAAATCCCTCAATCAGGGACCTTTTTAATCAGATGGTAGTAACATATCACTGCCTTTATGATGGAAAACAAGATAAATATAAAAATTTATTTTAAGATAATCTTGGGTTAAATATTATTGGTGGCAAATTATAGTGCAATGTAACACAGTGAATGAGAGCAGATTTTTAGTTGACATGTAGTAGATACATTAAAGGGCTTATTTACATTTATGGTATGTAACAGGTATTGTACTAAACTCTCAAACATATTTAAACACACAAACCTTGTGTGGTTTTCAGAGAAACAAATTCAAGGGTGCCTCTGATTACAAGTAACCCTTGGTACACCTGTTGGTACTGAGCTGATTGACACTCATTGTTGGTGAAAAGTTAGAAGGACTGTTTTGTGAGACATTTGTGCACTTTTGTCCTGTTGTGCTGATGTGTGACAGTTTGAACTAAATTAAAAAAAAAATTCATTGATTCAGGTGTACCAATCCTCTTTTTTTTATACTTTTGTACTGTAAAGTTTGACATTGGTAATACACAGCCTGGCTCCCCAGAATTTTCTGCTGGTACCAGCTATGGAAGAACACTGTCTGTGTTGTAATATAACCATCTTAACTCCACATTACAAACCCCATTACCAGGTATACTGAAGTCAGAAATGTTTGAAAAAATGTTTTTAATATATGATCATATATTGTTTGGAGAGCACACATAATGAGCATTTGTAGGCACAGTTTTGAGTTTTACCCTGGTTTTGATGATATTTGGGATATAACATTTATATAGAGTATTATAAACCTAGTTATTACACATAATCATAAGAGTGGTTAAGAGTGGAGCCAGGGTGTGGCCTGGAGTGGCATTGGCCACCCCCAGAATCTGATTGGCCACCCCTGCTAGAGTCAAAATCTGATGGAAAAACTGTGACAAATTGTTGCCTAAAAGGTTTTTGGTGCTTTATAATTGATACTGGTCAAATTAGTTTTATTTTATATCATGTATGAATCATGATGTTTGCATTCAGTTTCTGTTGTTGTGGAGTACTTGGCATGATTCGCCTCTGAAACACTGCAGCAGCTATGTCCCCAGCTGGGAGTAATTAAGGAGCACAGCCACAGTTAGCTAAAGAACGCACTATGTCTGTCTCGTTTTTGGCACAAAAAAACAATTCAATATTTAATGTGCGGTTTATTATTTTATAGAACTAAGGGTTTAATTTACCTCCCTATTTCAAATATGCCACCCCTCTCTGAGACTGTGCACCAGCCTGGTCACCATGTCCAAAATTTTCTAAATCTGCCCCTGCTTATGGTCATCTGTACTGATTGAGTTACCTAAACTGTTTGTTTTTGACTGTCTGAGCTGAACAACAAAACATAACTGACTAACTACTATGTAACTTGAGTTGATGTGCACAAGCATGGCAAGAATGATCAGAACCCTTGATCAATTAGTTCTCGGTATCCCAGTTTTTATCATTGCTTCAGCTAACATATCCAGGACTCTTAAAACCAGGATAAAGGCTTAACCAGATTTCTGAAACCAGAACAGGGTATTAAAATAGGTAAAGCATAACTGAGATACTCAAACAGCCTGACTGTAACCAGGATATTTCTGGCTATGTAAATGCACTCATTCACCACAAAGTGCTTTTCAGAGCAAAAAGACATTAATTCCAGTACAAACAATCGTGAGAACAAGCTCTCATGAGGCCAGAGCTTTTGTGGTGTCTGTCGCACACAGGGGAGGGTGAGAGGGTTTGTCTTTCAACGGCATTCACATTAACAAACTCTAACACCTCCCCTTTCTGTACACCTCCCTCTAGGCTCTTCCCAACACTAAAACACATCTTTGTTTAGTAACACTTAAGTAGTGTAGTATCACTTCAGCTGACTGACAGTATCCAAGCCATAAAGCATCGGGGCTGCATGTTAAATGGGCAGAATGTGAGGGAGGTTGTTCAAGGATAGGCACCACAGATGCATGGTTGAATTTGTCATTTTCTCACTTCAGCTCACTGACTCATACACACATCTATAAAATTATGTATACAGTATGTGCTGTTGGTTCTTTCTCTGCCAGCAATATAATCCAAGATACAATCTGTAACTAAGGGTGCAGCAGTGTTGTGTGATGTATGAGCTATGTAAAGAACATAGTCATAAATATCATGTCTTTGAACCCATCATCGTTTGAATCCAAAAGCTGAAGTTTGTGTCAAATGTCTCTTCAGAGTTATAACTCATGACCAGATGCTACACACTGATGTCATGCATGCTGGATTTTCAGGCATACATATGACACATTCTGTTCCACACGTGTTGTATGTATCAAACAGGCACAGAAAACTGGAGTTGCAATTGTGCAAGAGTCATTTGTGGGAATGTCTGCACTGTGTGCCTCACCCCTCATGCGTTTTAGGGGAGGATCACACAAATAAGATGAGATGTTAAGAGGATGATGTGTTCTGTTGGATTTGCTGAAGTTACCCTATTTGCAATTACACAAGGAAAATTACAAGAGCCATAAGTAAGGCCTTAGTGGGGGAAAGACATTTCCATTAAGTATAGGCTTATATGTGACTAAAACATGGTTAGAAACAAAAATGGAGCTAATAGCTACTTAATGAATACAATACATGATTACTATAACAGTGAAGAATAGTGTGCTGGGGAGTTTGTGTTCATTAAATTTGAATTTGAACTAAAATATTAGCGATGTAAAATCAATACAGACTGCAGCTAAACTTTGCTTTGTTTTGTTAAGATGTTTAAGTGAGTCTGGTTGCATTTAACAACCATATCAATGCCATCTTCACATCCACCTGCTGCACTCTACAGGACCTCCTTCATCCATGTCTCTCTCTTCAATCTGATTGCACTGCTCTGTGTATCTTGTGTATATTTTCTATTTTGATTTGATTTTGATTTTATTATTGAGATCCCCATTAGCTGATGGACAAACATCCACTACTCTTCCTGGGGTCTCTACAAATTTTAAAAACATTAACATTGTCTTTAATTTGCCCAGTATTTCATCTACTTTTTGTCTAATATATTACAAATTAGATGCTGCAGACTAAACTATCATATCATATTTTAATAGTGACAGTTTTTCTCTGGTGGCATTGAACCTCAGAGCACAGTGGCACAGTGGTTAGCGCTGTTGCCTCACAGCCTTTCTGTGTGGAGTTTGCATGTTCTCCCTGTGTCTGTGTGGGTTCTATCCAGGTACTCCAGCTTCCCCCCCCATGTCCAAAGACATGCAGCTTACATTGATCGGTGACTCTGAATTGCCAGAAGGAGTGAGTGTGTGTGGTTGTTTGTCTACATGTCAACCCTGTGATAAACTGGTGACCTGCTCAGACCCCACCTCTTGCCCATTGTCACCTGGCATTGGCTCCAGCCCTCCACGACCCTGTTCAGGAATAAGCGGTATAGATAATGGATGGATAGAGATTAGCTCAGTGATTATATACAGTAGAAACAGAAAGAAAAGTGATGGCTACAAGCTCTTCTTTACTGGCAGTGTGCATCATGGAAGTTCAATATCAGGTGCAGTCCATGAGCTGTATAATAAGCTGCTGGTTTAGTAAATCACACACTAAATACACACCAACCGGGATCACAAACCTCAGTGCAAAGTGGCACAACTCCACTGTGTTAGTACATCTGGCTCTTAGTCTTCCTATTGATTGTTGCTCAACAAGGATAAACATCCATAAATTCATGTTATATCAAAGGGGCTTTCCTATGTAAAAATAATTGCAGTTGATCGTTGTATGTTGTATGATCATTGTTACATGAGCTGTTAGCACCTGATACATAATGAGAACCTTGGTGGAAAAGCCTTAAATCATTTGGAATTGATCCAATAAGACTGAGAAAAATGAGAAGTATTGAAAAAATAACTAAATAAAAAAAGAACCTTTTGTTGTTTTTCATACTATTCAAACATTTTATCACAGTGATAAGGAACTGAGCATCATAAGCCTTTAGGGAACAAAAACAGTATGATTTGGTTAATAATGACTAACATCATGCATGTTGCCTGATATTTCAGTGAAAATAGTGGGTATAGGAACACATCAAAAGAGTAATTGCTATCATGTAGAGCTGGAAGATAATTCCGTTATATATTAATCATAATAGTAATATTAATGGGGTGGCACAGTGGCGTGGTGGTTAGCGCTGTTGTCTCACAGCAAGAAGGTTCCAGGTTCCCACAGTTCAAAGACATGCAGCTTAGGTTGATTGGCAACTCTAAATTGCCCGTAGGAGTGAGTGTGACTGTGTGGTTGTTTGCCTACATGTCAGCCCTGTGATAGACTGTGTACCCTGCCTCTCACTCAATGTCAGCTGGACACTATTCAGGAATAAGCAGTATAGATAATGGATGGATGGATATTAATATGTTCATGTCATTTTATCATTTTGCAAACTGTTTTAATCTAAAATAATGATTTCAAACAGGGCTTTTCAGCTAATTGTGTCTCAGGGACCACCATTCTGATTAGGAAGTAACCTGAGGACCACTGTTGTGGGTGGATAGACTGTAGGGCACAGTTTTAATTCTGAAAGTAACCATGGCTTTTCAAAATTTTATGTATTTGCAAGGATTGGATTATTCACAAATATTATTACATGGAAATGTAAAACAAAAAAGATTCTTACAATGAAACTACATTACTGGATGCATGGTCAGGGACCACCTGCAGTGCCTCCGTGGACCACCAATGGGCCACGGACCACTGGTTGAAAACCCCTTATTTAAAAGTGATAACAATATAGCTGCATAAAACACGTGCCAAATGTCAACATGCTGTGGCAACCCCTAATGGGAAAAAGCTGAAAGTGACATTACATTACAACAATATAACTGCTCTGATTTTTATTTATTTATTTATTAATTTTACAGTGGGTCAGTTGTGAACATGTGCCTGCCAGTGAATATATTGGAGCAATTAGAAACTTAAAAGCCAGATAGTTTTTTTAGGGGATGCTGGTTGAGACCAAACCACAGCTAAACATATTGGACTTGCAGAAACATGGCTCAGACTGAGTTCAAATGTTGCTACGTGTTAATTGACACGTTTGCAATAACAACTTTGTAAATTGGCAGTTTTTATGTTTACAACTTATTGCTCGCCAAGAAATACCTAAAAGCAGGTTTAAGTTTCTGTGTGAATATTTTTGTGTAATGTCCAATCAAATGGAGCACGGTTTGTTGCATTGTATAATTTGTAATTTTAAGTGTGATATAACCCAGTCCTTCTGCCATGTTGCTCTCCATCATCATTGCCACTTTTAATTTTCCATTTAACAGCGTTGCTACCTGGGGTTTATTGCACTTATCAGTATGTTCTCCTTCACCAGTGACATTGCTTCCCTGAAACTACCCATTGTATAGTGTGTCATATTACACTGTCCATATAGCTTTATTGTCCCGTACCGTTGGCTCAGCAGTGAGTGCAGGGTGGGAGAGGAGGACAGTTTTATTTCCCCCACCCTCTAGGAGATGGGGATATGGAGGATTGCCAGGTTAATGTGCTTGACCCAATCAAAGCCCAGAGCAGAGCCTTTCCATGGAGTCCAGAAGTTGGCCTGATAAATGGCCTCTTTGCTGGACGGAGTTCAGTACCTGGACCTCAGTAGAGGGAATGACAACAGCAGCTTTATTTCTCCCTCTCTTCACACAGAGCAGTGAAGCCCGGCATAAGACAAACATTTTAGCATTGCCTGACCTGTTCAACCTATTTTCTGTAACAGCTGGATGGAACGTGGTAATATGGGTTAAGTGCCCTGCCCAAGGCTGATGCCACATTTCACAATGTGGATATGAATGTATAGTTAGCATTCTGAAAACTGGAAGCAATATGTTTTTATTTCATCAGCAAACCAGTGATTCCTATGTGTGTGCAAATACCACAACATGTGGGTGAAAAAACACTGAATAACACTGAGCTCCTACTAGGAATGTGAGAATGGTCCTTTGCCTGAGGTCCATCATTCTAAAATAGACTATACACTTTGTTGGAAGTGTTACCTTTTTGTCAACTGGGTATTATCCTTGTCCCATTTTTAATACTACAGTACCTTACACTGTGTACACTTAGGTTTTGATGTGCTGCAAAAGTGTATATCTAGTTATGCTTTTTTGTTGTTTTATTATTATTATTATTTTCTCTTTATTATTTGCAGATTTTAACTATTTGTTTTTCGTCCTGTCAATACTGGAATAGCATTAAAGCGTAAGAAAAATGACATTATGGGTTTGGGCTTGACTTTAGCTAATTGTTTTTATATAATACATACAAAATATACAGTTAAAATTAACATTTTATTCATTACTGAGTCTTTATACTGTTTCATATAAACAGGTAAGATATACTGAAAAAGAAAAGCAGTTTTGTTCAGTCTACGATAATATAGTAGTTTGAGGTTTTAATTTTAGACATTTACAAAAATATTACTTTTTATTTTCACTGAATTAGGTGCAGATAGAGAACCAATATACCTGAGTTCAAACAAAAATTAGCAGTTTGTTATATATTGTAGCATCCCAAGTGAGACATGTAGGCAAACCACCAGAGCCACAGAGTAATTTTATGCATGCTCCTGCATTGTTTTGGGTGTAGTTTTCCACAGTGCCATTATTATAAGACAGTTGTTCATTAAAAATTAACATTGCTAGACCATGACATTTTTTGTGTGCATGGTTGATGATCATGATGATGCTCCTCAATTTAACTTCTTCTGGTAAAAATCCTGCCTGTCCCAGTTTAAGTGTACTCAGTCAGACACAAACCCCAATAGTACTCCTCAAAATGAGCAAAGCATAGCTTGCAAAGCATGGTAATATTAAAAAATATTCTATCACTGTTTTACATTTCAGCAACCACAAGAGGAAAATGAACTGCTACAGTTTTTAGAGTAGCATGAAACAATTCTGCTAAATGGTCAGAACTGACTTTTAGTGTGAATCATTACCTTACTTGAGTTGAGCCAAGGTTATATTTTTTTCTGAGCACTTTAAAATATTATTCAGCACATGTATTGGCAGTGGAGCATATAATGGCTTGTTTGCGCTACTCAGACTCCATAAGCAGGATTTGCAGCTTTCCTGTGTGTGTTAATATATATGACAGTTACAAGGTAAAAGAAAAGAGCATTCTGTGCAGACCTTGTAAAATCCTGACTCAAATGATACTTGGAGTCACAGATAGCCTATATACCGTAAAAACTGAATCGCAGTGAGATTTTACTTTATGATAGCAGGCAGAACACTGAGGGGTATGGTGTATAGGGTACCTGCTAATTTTTTTATTCTTGATCTTTCTTGGCAGTGCAATCCGCATCAGTCGGAAGGGATGGCATATGCTTCTCAACTTCTGTTTCCACACAGCTCTGACCTTCGCTGTGTTTGCCGGCGGCATCAATCGAATCAAATACCCCATCATCTGTCAAGCAGTAAGTGCATTCCCTTTTCATTTGTCCCACTCTCAAAGCTTTTGAAATTGATTATAAATGTCTGGTGAGGTGTTGGCAACCAGGGTACTGAGTGCAGTGTGTTGACGTATATTAGATATATGTGATTATATGCTTCAGCGACATGTATGGTCCAGTCGCTCCTCTGCTAAAATCCTGGTACAATGAGCCCTGATGATTCAGGCTTTCTCACCATGAATGCATTCACTTTCTCTTTCTCTGCTGTCTAGCTTTATCCTCTTTAGTTGCCTAGTGGTGGGAATCATGGCCCAAATGTGATTTGTGGCATTTTTTGTGGACATTTTGCAATGTAATATAAATATACATGTCTTATACTCTCAGTTGGCAGTTTATTATTATGATGCCAAGGTAAAACGTATACAGTCTAATCCAACAGTTCTCCAGTAGATCCTCCTTCATGGTGGTGACAATGTTCAGTTGTGTTCACACTGTGTTGATTCAACTGTATGACAATTTGGAAGAAATAGTTTGTGCTCTTGTTGATTTGTACTGTATTATACACAGAGGTGTTTCATCATATAGCCTAGCATCACTGATAAAAATGGAGTGAACAAAATAATAGATACTTTATACCTGTACAGTATAACGCAATACTGTTCAACAGCACCACAAATTACATTTTACTAAGTTATCATACTGGAACCGAGTTTCATTTTTGCAATTCATATATACTCTATATAACAATTCATTAACTGAAAGTATCACAAGTATTATGACATTTTTACAGGAGCACTCATGCATACTCTTTGAATTAAATGGAAACAAAAAGCTTCCAGTGGCTGCACTCCTGTACAATTTTTGTCTGTAGATGGTCAACAACAGCTCAGTGTGTTTCCAGCCCCTGGTAAAGACTGTCACACATGAAGCTTGTAAATGCCTCAGTGCTCAGTGTTTGAGTGTTTTTTCCACTAACTGTATCTATGAACATGGATAGCTATGCTAGCTGCACTGGCTTTATGGATGCTGTCTGTCTACCACCAGACTGAATATCTCACCAAGTAGAAGTGTGGCCAGGACATTCATGGTCCCAGAGCATAAATCTTACAGACTTTGGTGTTGCCCTTTTTTCCCCTCTACAACCACCAACCAGGTCAAAGTCGTCACTGTGAAATATCTCACTAGAAGGATTTTATGGTTCCCATCAGATGTATCCTAATAACTTTGATGATCCACTAACTTTTCATCTACTGCAACCATGAGGTTAACATTTGATTCACACATTCATGTATTCATGTTCCCATTGCATTGAATTGTAACCATATTAGTGATCCCTGACTTTTGTTCTTGTTTGAACATCAGGAAGAGATAGATAGATAGATAGATAGATAGATAGAGAGAGAGAGAGAGAGAGAGAGAGAAAGATAGAATGGCTAATCAGCAAATGCTAATCCACTGAACTACAGTGGTGAGCATAATCAGCAAATTCTAATCCACTGAACTACAGTGGTGAGCATGATAAAACCCAAACCCTCTTATTGTCACCATGTAAAGATTTTCATTGACAATGTTAGCATACTGGCATTAGATCACTGCCTAAACACAGGTTTATAGTGATGCAAGCATTGCTGTAGACTTAGTTTTATTTCAGATTATCTTGTTTGGATGTTCATTCTGTTGTTCTTAATTTGACTGGAGGTTAGTTTTACTTTTGCTTCCATCAAGCCTAATCTTTCTGTTTACATAAAGGCTGCAGATTTCTTGCTTTTGTACATGATGAGAAGTGTGCAGCATTTGGTCTGCAAAATAAACATTTTACTGATGTCTCTGATCGTTTTTACTGCCAGGCAATGTCATTTACCACTGCTTAAGATAATGACTATAGGCAAGTCAGCCTCATTTTGTGATGCAAGTGTTGTACAGTGTGCCTGCGGTTGAACCTTCTGACCCTCTGCATCCAATACTGTATGTGTGATGCTTCCATCTTTGTAGCCCACAGTTATAAATGAGTGAGCCAGACTTGTGGCGGAACATGGAGATTTGGGATGTCAGGATAGATTTGGAAAGAGGTCAGAGAAATTACTTAATGCCTTGTGGCCTGCTGCAAACTCGCTATTTTTAGGTTTTCTTACAGGATGTATTTAGGATGTATATATGTAGGAATGGTGTATAAGATAAGATAAAACTGTATTAATCCCACAATGGGGAAATTCCTGTGTGCAACGAGTGTTGCAAACATGAGGTAAGCTCTTAAAGTATATGAAGTTAGAACGTATAAAGTAAATACTAGGTGGATACCATATGGTGTTAACTGGAGCATATATCCCTGTCAAGATATAGGTTTAAATAAGGAATGTGAGAATGAAACAGTCATATGTTCCTTCTTTTACTTTTCCTGTGTTTGGAAAGTAATACAGTCCAGGTGGATTTCCTTTCCGGTTGAGTGATAGCTGGACCTGTTCAGGTTGTGAGCATGAAACACCAGCAGGAACAGAGCATCCTCCATTGTCAGCTCTCCTCAGCAGGAGGACATTTACTCTACTGCATGTACCTACAAAGGAATTTCTTTTCTACTTTTCACTCAGAGTCTCAACTGCTTTCACTCACCCTCTTTTTCTATCAGTGGGTTTTGTTTGTTCCCTTTATTGGGAGCTGCAATGTGCTTGGGACTCAGCTGCCTCCTCTGCTAGCACAAGTACATTAGGTGGCCCCTTATTCCATAGTGTAAATACTCCACCTCTACATGCTAAAATGCAGAACAGCATTTTTCATGCCATCCTTTCCTGAGCTGTCTAGCAGGAGGCCCGGTGACAGGGATGTCTGTAAGAAGTCACCACTTGTGTCATAGCTGCCAAGTCTGTCTCCACAACTGACACAAAATGGCTAGTGTTTCTCTAAAAATGCAGCTCCTCTCATCCACCTGCTTCCTGCCATTTAATATCCCATGAATAACTTACCATACCATATTGTTACTATTTATTGTAACAATTTAAGCCTTCACTCTGCTGACAGACATGCCCTCCATTGTATGACATGCAGTTCTAATAGTGTACTGACAATTTTATAATGAGGATTAAAAAGTTGTAGCTAGAAACTAAATAATGAATGGAAAGTGTAATGGATACAGGCTCAGCAAACAAAATCCTGACATAAAGCCCAGTGAGGGTTTTGTTAAAGATGAAAAATAGATGCAGATGAAAACCTCAGATCTGTGTGGTGCAGTGAGGAGACTGTAACTGTCCTTATGTAATACATGAAACAAACACGAATTCCATCTTTCCATCAGGTTTTCCACATTAGTTCCTGCCATTTGGGGCTTGACTGGTGCTGTTTTGATTACAGCATCCTGTCGCAATATCTTCTTCTACAATGGTTTAATGCCCCTGGAGAATTAACACCACCTGCAGTTTATCTTGATGAGCCCAACGTCTAATATTTGCATAACAACAGTGGATGGAAACTTGTGTGACTTTGTTTTTTCTTTTGGCTGATGTTGTAATAATTAAATTTGCACTACATTTTAATGGAAACCTGGGTAGTGAAGCTGTGGGTTGTGTGCTTAGTGTGAGGTATTTCAGAGTGAACCTGAATATGTGGGGATGGTTATAGTTAAATCAGAAATGTGTGGGCCTTTGCAAATAGAGAGGAAAGCAGAGCTGTGGAGAGATATGAAGCTGTAGAGCATCACTGGCCCCCACCCAAACCTCTCTCACCTATGTTGTTGGATTAAAATGCCCCTGAGTGCAGGATGTGTCAAAGAGAGAGATTTTAATATGAACATACCAAAAAAGAGTTTTTGACAAACACATACAGTACCAAGAGATAACTGAACAATTAAAACTCACACAGATTAAAACTGTGTCACTCATAAATAATATTTGACTTGACTTGACTGAATATTAGAAAGTGAGAAATTCATTTTATTGGCATTCTAACTTGTTATGGTTAATCAGAGAGTGAATAATTTAAGAATGAGACCTGCAGTTGTAAGAGTCCTTGTTAAATGATTCTTCTACCATAACACTCCATCAAATGCAATTGTAAATTTTAATTTTTAATTATTATAATTTGTTAATTGATGAATTTTGTTTGGCTATTCTCTTGTTCAGCTGTTAAACTGTTCATTGAATTCTGAAGATTTAAAGATACAGTCAAAAGGACCATACAAAAGGATTTTCACAACCCAAAAGCTGGTCTTTTTATTTGCTCGTTACTGATCTGTAAAACATTATTAAATGGCAGGCTATCCATTTAATGTGTTTAATAAAAGTGGTACCCATAAATCTTACTGAACTCTACTAATGCATCCACCTCCTATCTGGTAGTGCAGGTGTTACTGACAAATCCATGCTCTTAGCTGACCCTAGTCTTGCTCTTTAACTTTAATATTCAGTCATTTATCTAATTTTATCCCAAGGCCTTTGAGTGTTTTGGGCTGCTCCTCCTTTAGCCAATCACTGCAAACAGAATAACGCTCTGCAGATTTGGGCTGGAGCCCAGATTTCCTGGAGCCCCACTGGGATCGAGGCAGAGGCCCCACCAGACACAATTTAGGGTAATTACAGGATGGTTTGAAGAGATTTGTGATCACATAATGCACATTTAAATGTGCACAGAGACACATTTAAATGTGCACACAGACACACGCAGTGCCTGCTGAGTTCTCAGTGTCCCGCCCCCCAGTCATCCCAGCTCCTCTTTGTACACACACACACACACACACCCTTCTCCCTTCCCAGGGGGACACATAAATACATGCTCTCCCTCTGACAGGCAAAACTTCAAGGAGCTCAGAAACTAGCTGTGGCAGCTCTTGCAGCATTTCAAGCATGCACTCCCCACCCAATCTTTCTCCCCTCACCCTCCTCCCTTACCATCTCCACCTGCATCCTATGCTCATCTTCCCTCTCTCTATTTGTATGCAACTCTTCAGTCTTGCACCACCTCTCCATCCATTGTGGCATTGTTGCTATGCAGCATTCGATCTCTTTATGGCCTCAAAGTCAAAGTCATCTCTAAACTCCATTTCTATCTTTTCTTCCAACAACACCAGCTTTCACATTGATTTGAGAAACACCCCAAGTACCACAGTACATTTTCTGCTTGCCTATATTATGCAGCAAAACAACATACAGTGCATCCAAATGTTTTCCTTGCTTTACCTCATCTTACCTCAGACCATCAGAATTTGATTACCCATTTCAGCTGAATGCACAGTGCTAAAGAAACTGTTAATTTGGCAAAGAACTCGGCTGCATAAGACCCAGATCTGAGGTTACATCCAGCTGTCATCTTAAGTATGCTATACAGAGGATTTCCTCATTAGTGTGCTACTGTGAAATTAGTTGTGACAGCTGGAAAAAAAATGCTGTAGACATTAGAATATTTGCAGTGATTTGCTTTTTGTTTCCATTGGGTCCAATTTGAGTGTTCATGCGCTTTTTTCCACATATGTAAAAAGCTTCCAGTAGACTGGTTATTTTTGCATCAAAAACAGATGGGAACCAATTTAATGAGTTAGCCGACAAAGGACAGCTTACAGGGACCTTTGAATATAGCACTATTACGATATGCTAAAATTAACAGTGTCACAGAAAATGGTACACTTAAGATAAAAGATAAACTCTTAAAATAACTGAAGTATCAAAGGAACTGCCAAAATGGAGAGCTGCATGTAAGTCAACTTTGCTATTAGAAAAGTTAACTAAAAAGTTAGAATTGTATTTTATTATTAATTGACTGAATTTCTTATTGATTAAAGCAATATACCTACATTAAATCCTGAATCGACAAGGTCAGGGGCAGTACTGTTGGTTCAAGCATCACTCTGACCCACATCTGTCCTAAGTTTACAGTTTGTATTGTTTCAAATTTGTTTAATTGTTGGAGTGGATTTGTCCTGCTGTACACTGTCTTACTGAATTCCGTGAGATAATATCTGGCACTGTCAGTAGAATTTTATCAATATTTTTGTTGCTTTGAAATGTCTGGCAGCTCTGCACTGTTTGTCTTCACTCTGCGTTTCCTTCTGATCAAACTGTCACAGAGCAAACCACATTTCTTATTGTACTGTGCCATGCTTGTAAACACTTGATACAGTATGCTGTTTGTTGGAGCTGATTAGAATAAAAAACATCACTGTGTAAAACAGTGTTAATAGAGAAACACTGTCAAACCAGTTCATAGTTTTCACAACAGAGTGACCACGAGGGTCTGTGCAATGTAAATATCATCATCTGCCCAAGTCCCTGTGTTCCATGTGGACCCACAAGCAGCCCACTGTCACACTGACTGGCATGCACTAGAAAGATAAACTGGATGTTTGTTTTAGGCACTGTGTGTATGTACTGTATATTTTGCATCATTGGTTCTGTCCTTTAGAATTGTTTGTGTTTGACTTCATGTTGTTCAGCCAAATACAACAAACGCACAAGCTCTTCTTCTTGCTGTCAGAGGTCACCATCATGTTTTTTACATGTATGCATAATCATACCCCTGACTGCATGTGCAGAATTTCATGCTTGTGTGTATCCCCTGTCCCCTGTGTGCAGCTGGCCATGTCTTTATCCATCCTGAAGTTTGATAAGGGCTTAAGGAGGCTTTTTAATAGCCCATTGCTAAATTTCACATTTGCTCTGAGTAATGTTTATTTTATTCTGACATTAAAGCACCAAGTCCTCAAACTGAATTGATCATGTAAGTAAGTATAGGCATATCTCAATTATGGGTGTGCAGTTTCACTGGTTTATGCATCACTGACCTCTCCAAAGTGATAAAACAGTGAATTTGATGTTTAGAAACTTCTGGAGTGCTGTTTCCAGTTCCTGTTTGGTTAACTGTGTGATCATTGTGCTGCTCACTGTTGTGATGTGATCACTAACTGAAATGACATATTTACCATATTCTCTACTAACAAAAGCACACAACACATTATTAAGTGTAAAATGCCGAAAAGGTCTATGTTTATCAGATAGCCTGGCGTGCATTTTGTCAACCTGGGGTTTGTTGTATTGTGTCAGTCTAAATGAACTAAAATATCTCATTCAAAGGATGGGTAACTAAAATGTACACTATGAATATGGCTGGCGTTGAATTCCTTGTTTTAAACAACTTGGACTATATTTTATTATTTAAAAATAACTTATCAATATTAGAATATATCTACCAGGTGTATTAGTGCAAACACTTAATACATTGCTAACTGTTTTTGATAATTCATCATCACTTCATAGTGCATCAGTGGATGTATTAACTAAGCTGGCATGGTACTACCAGTCTTTGCTGCTAATATGGGAATAGGCAAACCCGGAAGCTGTTGGCTTATGTGCTGGGCAAGCAATTTGCATTTAAGTAACTTTAAGTTTGGTATCCACTTCCCATATACATCCATAAGTGCACCCAAGGAATAAACAGCAGTGGTCATATGACTGGCACTATGCAAATCTGTTCAACATAAGTTGGTACTGTATTATATATAAAAAGTCTACTTATAAAGATTTATAAAGCAGACTTTTAGCTTTTTATAATGGCTGTAAACAGGTTAATTAATTATCTGTTTGATGATGTGTAGACTGCAATTGTCTCAGCTGTATGTTCAAATACTGCCTAATCATCACCATGGCTGTATTACAGTACCTTATTTATGCAGACTGCAGTGTAGGTCATTATTCACAAGTTATGATTACTGTGTGTACCCCTATATGTACCACACTGTTAATTTGAGAACCCTTCCTCTCCCCTTATTTCCATAATACAAAGACTTGTCCTTTCTGTCTGTTCTGGCACTAATGAAGCTCTGAAGTTTGTAGACTCTGCAGCACTGATTGACGTACCATCCACTCTCTGCTAACCAGCACAGGGTCACTTCCAATTAGCATCTGGGCTCTGGTACACTAGCTTCGGTCCCTAGGCCTGTGAGGTTTGAGTGAAATCATTTGATTGGGTATCTTAGATTGGTAGTACATCCTGAACAGCCTGGATGGAAAGAAGGCTCAGCACAATTTAATTTTCTTTCCCCATTCAACTCTCATTTCTCACCTTTCTTTCTGTGAGCAGGCAAAGCCTTTAGTTAGACCAGTTCTCCTATTTAAACATAATTCATTAATTTTTAAATGAGAAGGAAGCTATGTATACAGTGAATTCTGAAAAAGTCATGTGCTGATAGTTGTCAGTGTCATTCATATTCAGATTTATCATTCACAGTGCACACCTTGTGTCCTCCAAATCAGCTGATAAGGAGCTGCTCAGTATCCAGCACTATAACCACACCATAATGCTCTTATCCCAGACAACCTTGATGATTTAGTAGAACTTTATGAACCTACTGTATCTTTCCATTCCACACTATTGTCTTTTAAAGAAGCATAGGACAAAGTCATCAGGTCTTGAAGCAAAATATCTACGGGGGCACCTTTAGTGTGCCATTGATGTTTTTGAGAGAGGAGTGGCATCTCTCCTGTCCATCTTTTCTGTTAATTACAGGAATATAATCAAAGGTGCCATTTTTCTTAGACACATGCTCTACTCTGTATATAAGCAAAAGTTTTAAAAAGTCAGATAAAATACTTGATGTGCTGTTCCTAACCTCATCTCAGGTTGGGGTCGTGCTGCACTACTCATCTCTGTCAACCATGCTGTGGCTCGGTGTGACGGCAAGGAATATCTATAAACAGGTGACCAAGAAGCCTCTGCAGAGTCAAGATGGTAACCCGCCTCCATCCCTTAAACAGCCCCTGTTGAGGTAAGTGTAAATTTCCTTGCAACCCTCTTCAAGTCTGACCTGATCCAAATGGAAAAGTACATAAAGAGCTCTCTGTATGTGTTTGTGTGCCTGTGTGTGTTACCAGTATTTTTGGCGTTCCTTGTCATACTGCGTGCTGTGCGTGTATCTTCTTAGGCCAAGGACTGGTTCACTGCACACTTATCTGGTTTCTCATTTCATTTTTTCTCTGTACATGACTGTGACATGCATGTAGACATTATCTACAGTCTCATCTTGTATTTATTTTTAGCCGTGATGGAAAAGGTATGGCTCCTGTGACTACTGCATCATTACATAGTTGTTGATGCATCAGTGTGTAAGAAGCATGTCCCTGTAGTAGTTGTCAATGTGCAGATAGTTTTATCAGGTTTACATACAGTTTGCTAGTGTAGTCTAGTGGTTCCCAACCTAGGAGTCAGGATCCCTCCACAGAAAAATCTGGGGGTCATGAGATGATAAACTGAATAGGAAGTAAAAAGTACTAGAGATGTGTACCTCCTTGGTGCCTCAGAAAGTACTTTAATGAAACCAGAAGAAGTTTAGAAGAACTTAGAAGTTGAAATTCAGTCTGGTACAGTCATTACAATCCAATGTAATACCATGTTGTGTTTACCCAAGTAACTGGTAACTATAACAAAACTATAGCAATCAAAATAAATGCAGTGGAGTAAAAGTACAATATTTGCCTCTAAAACTATTGTAGTAGACATATGGATTAGTATAAAATAGAAATGCTCAAGTAAATTATAAATAAATGAAAATTATACATGGGCACAGTATTTGAATAAATATTAAAATATTTTTAATATTGGAAATTTTTTCAACAGATGTATGGGTCATTGGGTTCTTCTATGCGTGCAAAGCTGGGTCTACACAACTGTGTATTTGAGTGTTTCCATATTTGTGTATCTGTTAATTTTTGCTAGCTTGTGTATTTTTCTCAGGTGTTTGCTGGCTCATGTTTTCTATGGAGGACAACAATAGCTTTACACAGATGAGTTATTGCCTCGTTTATCTGCAGAGACATCCACAGCTACTTTGCATTCTCTCAGGCCTTCAGCTTTGTTTGCTCTGTAGTGACATAGCTGCCTGCTGCCCACATTTACTCATCTTAAGAAACTTCATTTTTAATCTGAATCACTGTTCACCACATGGGAAGGATTTTAGTTTTTGGAGGGTAATTAGACAGATAAATTCCAAAGATGTGTGGAGTCAAGTGAATTCCTTTTAATAAATTAAAATTCTGAATTGATTCCTGTTTAGTGACATTTTTGGCATTTTGGTCAGTTAGCATAACTATTAATAACCATTAATGCCATTCATCAGTAGCGTCAGAGCTTTTGCTGACTGATATTGTCTGGTCCAACTAATTTTGGATTTTCATAAAGTTCAAAAACTGTTAAACAGAAGAAACTTAAATAACAATGGTTGGGTCAGAGGGAGCTTTAGAGAGCTGACTAGCTGCCGGTTTAATCTACTGTTATCACTATTACTGCCATCGCCATTACCCCAGAGAGTACACCTGGATAAACAGTTGAAATTAGTTAGCTAAAACAAACTGATAAATTGTAGTAATATAACTGAGAGGTTGACCAAATCAAACTAAATCTTGACAATGCAACGGAATGAAAAAATTGTTATAATATCCACTCATGCACTTTCAAATCAGTTGAAACAAACATATTTGAAACTCAACAATTGGCTTTTTTGGTAGGAGTGCATGTCAGATAAAAAAAAAAGATTGGAAACTCTAGACCGATGATATATATTTTTTGTAGTTTTGAAAGATTTTGAAACCTCAGATTTTGCTCTTTTCCCATGGGTAAAGCAGCACATTTCTGTCTGACAGGGTGTGTAGTAAATGTTTTGACTCTGGTATTCTGTTTGAGGCTTCCTATTACCCTGTAGGGTAAGAAGAATGGAGGGTAGATGAATGTGAGGAGGAGGAGGAGGAGGATAAAGGGTGAAGAAGTGAATGAGTTTAAGCGACTTGTTAAATGGAAACAATGCACCGATGCTATACTTAATTATTCCAATCACCGAGGAGCCCGCTGAGCCAATCTGTGTGTTTAGTCATTTAATTCCTATTCAATTAGATATGCGCATCAGGTTGAATTTTTACCTTTTGTGATTTTTTTCCCCCCACTCATTTGCCATATTGTTCCTTTTCTGCTTACTCACAACATTTGGCATGTTTGATATCAGCCTTTGGATACAGATGATGCTCTTCCTCCACGTTGAGTAGGCTCCGTGTGAGCTCCTCTGCATATTGCAGCTGTGCTGCAGACCTGAACTCCAGAAGCTTCAATGCGAAATTCTGTTAGGGGAAGGTTTGAGAGGACAGATACAGATGCAAACAAAGGGTGCACTGTAACAAATGCCTGCTTTTCATTTAATCTGGTATTGAGCTTTAGCGTGTCATTTTCAGAGAGCCACTGGATTATAGTACTGTATGAGCTGCTTGAGTTTTCTTGAACTTTATTAACTATTTTGAGGAAGATATAACAGATGACCCCACACATTTGATTTGCACTCAGTATGAACCCCCTGAGATATCTTACTCACTAGCTTTTAGACTTGCTTTCTATGTGGAGTTTTAGAGGATCATTGTGATACATGTAGCGCTATACCTCAGCCATACCACCTGAAACTAATAGCCATAAAAATCTATCAATGAGCAATATCATACACTATATGCTGGACAATATTAAAGCTGTAATCTATAACACAATATAATACAATAATACATACCTGAAGAGTCCCTGAAAGTCACTGAGGATAAGGATGCCATCAAATAAGGATCCCCCTAATCTAGCAGCACTTACCTTGCAAGACAAATCCTCAGACACCTGTGTAATTTGGGGTGGGGGGTTAATATGGAAACATTCTTGAGGCTCTCCCATCATGCATTGCTTGTGAATGAGATAATTTATCTCGGGGGAGGAAATGGGATGATGTGGTGCAACAGTCAAGTTGATCCACAGTGACTGACAGTAAGGCTCCCCATAAGACAGGCTCATGCAATGAGACTCAGCAGCTGCAAGACAAATCAGTTTCTCCTTTGGGCATCTCCCTCACCCAGCAACCAACATGTTCGTCCCCATCTACCTCTTTTCTTGTCCCTTTACTTCTGACAGCATCTGATGGCACAGATACACTGTATTGGAACACACATAGTAAAATCCTCTGCACATGCTATTAGTTGACAGTCATCTGATATGACTGGGCCAAGTCATTCCTTTAAAGCAACATTCTACATTGTTAAATTTCACCAAATGCATTTTTTAATTGATTAGGATTTAAAGTAAAAAAAATTTGAGATGATACTATGAGTGTACCTTTCTCTGTCTTTAGATGTTTTAGAAGAAATATTTTTAGATTAGACTTTCAAAGGTAAAATGGTTAGCATCAGTGGCTGGCCATACATATATTATGAAATATGTGTATTCAAAAATGAAATCATACTGTGAGGTATAGGATACCTCACAAGTTGAAGTTGTTTAAATGCAACTCAAGCCATCAGAGTGCTTTACTGGGAAAGCAGAGCTCATTGCTTTTCCGACAACAGCAGCTTACATGTTGATTATTTCTTGGTTTTTCTTTCAAGAGACCTGCAGTCTACATGTTATGAAAAACATTACTCATACTAACTTGAAGATATACTGTAAAAATACAAGATTATATCTGTGACAGTAAGTCAGAAACATCTCATACAGTACTTGACAAGTCAAATAATTTAAATCCACCACCCCCTTCTTCATGTCTTCTGGGCTTTTTTGAACAGCAGACACCATAAATTGCAGCAATGAGTACTGACAAGTTAATCATGCTTACATTGACAGGAAGCAGATTTGTTTCCATACTAAAATTTACACTTTGGTTTGTAGCAAAGAAAACAAACTGTTGGTGTGATAACACCTGTAGAGTGTGATCACAAACACAGTGACAAGCTCAAAAGTTCACACATCAATGTGAAGATTTTTTTGGAGTGGTCATATTTCAGAAAAGTGGGGAAAGGATTTGTTTTCATGTTCGTCGGTATCATAGTTTGTTCCCAAAGCTGAGAAGATGCAGATTTTTTGGGGTCAGCCACCAGCATCGCAATTTTATGTGTCACTTTGTTTGCTTGGATTGTTCTTTCTGTTGTGTGTCTAATTGCCCTACTATTTCTCACTCACTGTTTGACAGCATGCTGTTGTAAACCAGATGTCCAGATGTAACATATAAGATTTGTTAATGCATCCATTGTTATATTTTATTGCTCTCTCTGCCTCTTTTTGACCCTCTGTCACCTCACAGATTTTATTTAGTAGGTGGTGGAGTGCCCCTCATCATCTGCGGGGTCACGGCAGCCGTCAATGTAGACAACTATGGCAGCGGGGAGCAAGCACCGTAGTAAGTTTTTGCTTTATAGACCTCAGCAAAGTGTTTTTCTCATTAAATGTTATCATGTCCATAAAAAACATCATTTTAAAGCAGATTTGCATGAGTGTACTTAGACAACCTGTGTAGACACAAATACTCACACACTTCTGACTTGCTGAATGCTTGTATTTCCCTTTGGTGGATGTGTATTTGAAAAAGTTTTTCTTTGTTGGGTAAATAATGACAACTTAGATGTATGGTTTTATTAATGTTGCTTGCACTGTGTGTACAGTATATGTGGGTGAACATTATAAAGGTAAAGGTTTCATTGGAGATTTGCTCAGCATTTCTGTTGTACTGATTAAAAAATATGAATATAAAGTATTAAAATGGTCTTCATGTGTGTTGCAGCTGCTGGATGGCTTGGGAGTCCAGCCTGGGAGCCTTCTTTGGCCCTGTGGCCTTCATTACCCTGGTGACTTGCATCTATTTCTTCTGTACCTTCATCCAGCTACGGCGACACCCTGAAAAGAAGTACGAGCTCAAGCAGCTGACAGAGGAGCAGCAGAGGCTGGCATCCATTGAGGCACCAACCCACTGCCACCAGGGAGCTGAGCCTGGAGCCCTGACAACTCCACCCACTGGGAGCCACTGCCCCGCTGGCTGCCCAGGTGTTCCCATTAATCCTGCACTGCTGGCCAATGAGCATTCTTTCAAGGCTCAGCTACGAACGGCGGCCTTCACCCTTTTCCTTTTCCTGGCCACATGGACTTTCGGGGCACTGGCTGTGTCACAGGGCCACTTCCTGGACATGATCTTCAGCTGCCTTTATGGTGCCTTCTCTGTCACTCTTGGCCTCTTCATCCTCATTCATCACTGTGCTAAGCGTGACGATGTCTGGCATTGTTGGTGTTCCTGTTGTCCCGGAAGAAACACCGATGCCTGTTCTGGCACCCATGGGGCTGCTCAAGTGCGACCCAAGGTCAGTGTAAATGGAGATACCCCCGGGCATGACCATGGTCATAGCCACTGCCACCATGACTCACCATGTCAGGGTAAAGCACTGATGAGCTGCAGTCATGGCAGCTTAAGTCATTATAAACACACTGCCCTTCCATCTTCACAAAATCATGTGACATGTCTGGCACCGGTGACACCATGCTGCGCCACTCTGCATAGCCAGCAGCTCATGGAAGAGGAGCCTGCCGCTACTCATGTGCTGCTACATGCTGACCCAGAGGGTTACCGGCCAGGCATCCAGTTGCACCCCTGCCTAAAGAGCAGCAGGACTAAAGGCCGTAATATCAGCCGCCGGGCTACAGCCAGTGCTTGCAGAGCAGGAAGTGAGAGGGAGTACGCCTATCACATCCCCTCCAGTGTGGATGAAGGAAGCGTGCACAGTTCACACACTGACAGTCCCCGCAGCACACATGAACGTCACACCCACATCAACCCACATCTGGCACACGAAGGCCACCATGATGGGCATCATGCATGCCACACTGCTGCAGCCACCACACATGAGACCCTGGTGTGCCATAATCCCTGCCACAGGCATATCTGCTGTGCCAAGGCAGACCTTTTTCCTTCTCTGTGCCCAGCAGAGGCAGGAGACAAGGGCGTCCTCCTTTGTGGCTGTGGCAAAGTGACTGAGGAGGACCCGATGGCAACACATCACCATTTGGAGATGCATGCCCCGCGTAGACAATCCTACCCCCAGAACCCGCCCAATCAGAATGGGATTCTAAAGGGGGCCCTGCATGAAGGACTCCTGTACACTTCAGACAGCACAGGGAATATACGCACTGGACCCTGGAAGAATGAAACTACTGTGTAATATGGGGAGGAAAAACAGGCCTCTTCCTGCCAAAATAAAGAAAAGAAAAGAAAATCGCCTCTCTTTCTAGAATAAAAAAAAAACAAATTGAATATAATTTTAAACTTCACAATCAGTGTGAGATATTTTTATTTTGATGTCCTTATGTTTTAATGTGTGCCGTTTTACTGTACAGAAATCTGAGATCATGTAAATGCTCCCTGAAAGCAATCCATAGCCAGAGCAGTCTCCTCTATCAGATGAATTAGTGAAATGTGCCACATCATTCAGTCCAATGTAACTGAAGGTATTGCCACTCTTCCATAAATGAATGGTTATATGTGTGTGAATTTGTTTGTTGCTCAAAGGCAACATGCTGCAGGATTTTTTTTTACACTTTGAATCTGTATCCATCAAATAATCTTCAATGACAGTGAAGCTCTTGTACTTTAAAAAACACTTGGCATCCATGTTTTCAACAACTAAACCAGCAATTTTAGACTTCATGGGTATTTTTGTCATTCAGTTAAGCAACTGTGAATACCTACTAGAGATTTTCTAAGTAATATACAAAGATACTGTTGCTTGCCAGAGCTGTGTAGAAGTTGTGAAAATTCAAAGCATCCGAAAAAAGAAGTGAAGTCAAGCATTTTTTTTCCAGATTGTATTGATCATGCTGTCTATATAATGTCTTCAGTCTAGTTTCTTTTTCTGGAGAGAAGTACAGTAAATGATGGTGCATCAACAGCGACAGCATGGCCATTGTAGTAGAGAGTTGGTGACACTGAGTCAGTGGGTCCAGTGGGAGTTTAAGTAACACTATACCACATAGAGCCACACAGGTCTTCACAGCGAATTCATTCCCAAACTACTGTTAAGGTTTTTATTCTCATCAGCACTGCTCGCACTTGCAACACGTCACATTATAAAATCAGTATTCACTGCTTTGTAAACCAAACATGCAAACATTTCAGGAAGAAGTGTGAATGTGATAGTAAAAGAAACAACAAGCTGCTAAAAACATCACTTTGGGAAACTTGCCTGTCAGCAGTGCTTTATTTTTTTCCACTTTCCCTAAAAACTAATCAAACATTTCAGCCACACTCACCTGCTGTTGGCTAAAGCCACAAAATGACACATGGCAAAACATCAGTGCAAAAGCAGTCCCTTTATATTTTACTTATTTTGTCTCTTAAAAGCCCCAAAGCGTGCATGCCTTGTTGTATGTGGCAGTGTGCTATATTTTAACACTGTAAATGAATCCCCATCCATTAACATATTTGCCTCAACCTGATACAACCACTGCAGCACCATGTATCATTTTTGTCACACTCTTGGATTAAACAAATAGTGTGTTATTATATATTATTATACTGTTTATTGTATTATTTTCCACTGGTAGTCTCCATTTAGCAAGACTTTGAGCTTAGGTTTATCCAAGAATCTAGTTCAGAAAATGTAATGCTCCTGGTTCTGGATCATTTTTGCCATGAAGGTCGCATTCTCTTTGAAAAATCTCCACTCAGAAAGGGAAGGAAAAAGAGGCTCTGTATTGGGTTAAACACAATGATGATATTGAGTATGATACTGACAAAACCACTTGTACTTTTTGTCAGAAAAGCTGAACTTTAAAAAGAATTTCACAGCCAAGCATCACATATAATCTCACAGCAGGCACTGCTTTTTATCCATCTTGTGCATTCTTGTCTATGTATATAAAATTGGTTTCTGATGAATTATTTTATATGAGATTTAAGATATTTAAGAATAAAATGAATCTATATGTAAACAAAGTTGTATAGGGAAAACAATGACCTTTCACTTTTAATACTCAGTATCTGAGTTTAGAAATGTCCTTTTTTTTTTTCAAATGCCATTTTTTGTCGCAATTTTAGTTGACTTCATAAAGTATGCAGACTTGACATGTGTTGTGAGACTTAACCTGTCATATCAGAAGTAGAAATGCACTACCCATAATAATAATTGGCCTGTCAGAATAGAATTTGTCACAACCGGTGGGTTTATTATAGAAATGCTTATTCAAGTGGGAAAGTGACTGACAGAGAATAAAATAAATTATTGTGATACTCACTGTATTTGGATGGCAGGCTTTGAATCATGAAAGGAGGCCCTGGTAGACATCAGAGATAATGTATGAACCCCATACTGTACCTTTGCACAGGGTTACTGGAGTTATTTCCGATGCCTGGGACAAAATGGGATATTGTGGGCCCGACTTGTGAGTCCACAACTGATTACACAATATGGGATCCTTGGAGCCACCTTAGATGCTGACAGTTAGTGGCTCTGGCTTCATAGTTATTGGAAAGGGATTTGTAACAGTATCACAACAAAACTCTTGCAAACATCACATTAAAGTGAGATAACCATTGGTCTAGGTTAAATGCTGTACAGTGTGTGAGTCTGCTGATAGTGTGTCTTAGCTGCAGCCTGAGCTTTTCACTGTCTTTGAGACTAATTGTTTGGTATCATAGGTCACCCTAGGCCACCTTCTCTTTTGTCATCAGTAGCAGTTATACTGCCCAGAATGATGGCTACTGGAATATTAACCTGTGGTACTGTGACAAAACCTAAAGCCAGTTTTCACTGTTTTCTACATTGACACAGATTCCAATAAATGTATTTTTTCACCATGCAGCAGATGAGAGCATCTTTGGCTTGTGTTTGTGTGTCCACCATTTACATGCTTTTATGTAACTTTTATGACAAAGAATGTGAGAGACAGAAAACACCTGTTTTTTCTTCTGGTCAGTTCTTGCCATGTCACTGTTATTTCTTCTGACAGCATGATGGAGATTGAGATGTTTTACAGAGCCACCACAGGGGAGGAATTCAAATGATAGCAGGCTTGACTTCTGCTGTGGATTTACATGTATGTGTTGTGCATGCCCAGACCATGTACTCATACCATGCACACATCACTCAGGAAATGAGGCAGTGTGTTTTCCATGCAGTACAAATCACATCCAGGTTTAACAGACCATGAAACGCCTGAGCGCATTTAATATGCAGCTGAATTTATTTTTTTATTCCCTGGCCACACAGTTCTCTCCTCACCCTCCTGTCCAGCAGATTAGTTGTCTGACTGAAAGCTATATGTGAAAGGTCAGACCCCATCTCTCCAGACTGAACAAGAGAACTGCAAGGTGTCCATGAAATGTAAGTCATGGATGGCTAGGGAACAAAGAAAAAATAAAGGAGAAAATATTGTTTGAGCTGTAGTGGTGATTAAACAGATAATGAAAATAAGGCTAGGATGGCTTTAATTACCAGGGTTGCCTTTAAACTAGTATGTTTTTAAAGAAAGTGCTGAGGCTTTGCGCTCAGCTCAGAGACTCAGGAATGCAAAAAGATGGTTGTAAGACTGCAGTCCTTGGTAGGTTGAAGCCAGCAGTTGGTGAAGGGAGAACTTGGCCCTGGACGGCATCTGTTTCATTAAAAATTAATCTGGTTTTAGTAACACAGATGTGCATTTGTGATGCAGTTAAGTGTTTTCATTTCCTGTAATATTAAAAAAGGTTTGCAAATAGGAGTGTGAGCAAATCAAGCAATCAGATGTGCAATATCAAGGATTCACACAAACAGCCTGATCTGATTTCACTGAGGGATTAGAATGATGTAGGAGCTGTGTACATGATCAGGGGATGCTTTTTGAGACTCTTTGGCACTAGTGGAAAACGCTTTTGTTTTTCATTGACAGGAAGGAGCGAGATTTCTGTGAGTGTCTAGATTAATCCAACAATATGGTGCATAGGTAATTAAGCTTGTCTTTAATCTGTATGCTCTTGTATGCTTTGTTTTATGTAATCACAAGTCATCTTATAATCACCTTTATTTGGCCAAGTATGTTACCCACAAGGAATTTGTTTCCAGTACAGAACTGATAGCAGCCATCTGCGCCACCAACTCAGCCAATGGCTCTAACCATCGGGGGCAACGGGGGCGGGGGGGTTCAGTGTCCTGCCCAAGGACACATGGACTGGAGGCACTGAGATTCGAACCTTCAACCTTCTGGTGGGGAGACAACTGCTCTACCCACCGCACCACCGTCACCTAATCCTGTCTTCGGTTCCCTCTTTTGTCTTTGCCTTTCTGCATGTTCAGCAATTCTCTCCCCAACTATTAACTAAACCCACCCCTCCATCTTCAGCCTTGACAGTCAAACCTTAGGTTAGCAGGCTGTGATCATCATGCTAATGCCATCCTTGACTTAAATAACACACCCGAGACGTGCAGGGCAAGAGAGCAAGGCAGGGCTGCAGAGAGAAAGTGGGGTGGGAGGTGGAGGACTGGGTGGATAGTTTGAGGCTTAGAGGAAGAAAGAAACAAGAAAGTGAGCTGGAAAGATCACAGCAGTAAGGAAAACAGGAAGAAGGTGGGGTGGGCAAAACCTGTAGATAGATATCATCAATTGGATTCTTTTTCTGATGTATATGCATGTACGTATGTGTACGTAGGTGTCAGAAACAGCGCGTAATGCAGCCGAAAAGTGTTAGGTGAACTCAATTAAATGGCCAGGTGAGGAAGTGTAAAACAAACCCATCTCTTTATTAAGAGAACTAACGTTGAACAAAAGAAAACCATACAAGACACGGTGAAAACACAAAACTCACATGTCCTTATTAACAGTCCGAGGTCAGAGCCAGAGGTGATCCAAAATACGTAGTCCAGAGTCCGATATGATACACTGTGGCAGTCCGAGACAAGAGGGCAAAGCAGAAACGAATATACCAAGGTAACAGTCCGAGTCAGAAACACAAGATACCAAAACCGAAGAAAATGCTGGAAAGTCAGAGCTGGGGTCTAGAACAATCTGGCAGCGTCCTGGTGGGAGGTCGCTGCCTAAATAGGGGTGCAAACAATAACGAAACAGGTGAAACCAATGTGAGTGATGAAGAACGTAAAAAGACCAAAACTAAGGTGAAACAAAAACAGGAAGTAACGTCAAAATAAAAGCCGGACAGGAAGCAGCGGAACCAAATCATGACACGTAGGATGTGTATGTCTAACCAGTGCAAAGCAACTAAACTCACACTCAGTTACTGGACTTCTACTACTGATCTTAGTTTGTGAAAAAACAGTTGTATAATGTTCTCTGTGGAAAAGCTTAGTCAAATCTGACAAAATAACTCCTATGATGTCACAGTGATGTCATTGTGTTAACCCCAATTGGAGTTTAGACACTTTTTTAACAGCTTGCTTGGATTACAAACTATGGAATTCTGCTTTGAGCTGTATGTTGCTAGTATTGTGCATGCTGATAATTTTAGTTTTTAGATCACTTTAATGAACACCATTTCCCATAAGCTCTAGGCATAGGCTAAATGTCACAGCTTGACAGACCAAATATGTCTATGAGCAAGTTCAGGCTGTCAGGATGAAAGGAGTGGATGCTGTAGATGTTTTAGATAACAAGTAGAACACTGAAAAAACAACATAGCGGAAGTTTTGATGACCCTAACTACTGTCATGCTCGGCAGGAAGCACACTGTTATTTTATTAGAGCTTTTTTGCTTCAAAATATGTAAAGCTTAATACCCTTTCAACATAGTCATTACATCTATTGTACAGCTATAAGTATAAGATCTGATGTCATAAATGAAGCATGTTGCTCTGTCATCCTAGATTATTAACTAGGAAGAAACAGCCTGCTTTTCCTTACACAGACTTGTACTGGAGTTGTGTGCCTGGTGGGCAAGAGATAGAATGCACAGTGTGCTAATGGAGTGCACAGTGGAGTGGGCTCCAGATTTGGGAAACCAAAAATAGCTCTGTCTGTTTATTTGGTTATCATAACTATGTCTCACCTCACTGTACAGTATGTCTCCCTGTGCAGCAGCTGCCTTCCAGGCATTCACCATCTCTCAGATTACCCCCAGGAAGACCTCTGAAGACTTGTAAGTAATGAATAAAAACCCCATCCTATTTTACTAAGCTCAACCTCATTCTGCTTTTTCACAGAGGCTTACTGTCAACACAGCCACACCTGAATTTCAGTCTGTGATGTGAAAATCTGAGGTAGCTTCTCAGTCTGAAAAAAAAAGACTTTGACATCTCGCGGAGTGACACATTGGAATATTCCCTTTAACTTGTTTTGTTGACACAGCCATTGCCTCCTCCTGTGCTGCTAAATTTCTTGATACATCAAATCCTTTGAGAATTGTGATGCATGACAAAGACTAAATCAGGTAAGTGTGAATATTAATGGCACTCTCAAACTCAAAGCTGTGTGTTAACTTTGCAGGGAGTCAATAGCTGCCAATCTATGTTGTTCTGCATGTTTGACACTCCACCCACGTATTTAGTGTCCCTACCCCACAGGCCTTCTTATTTATAGCTTCCTTTAATGGTGACGCAACATGGCACAACTGCAAGAGAACAAAGAATTGCATGATGGTTTTAATTCAATTATCTATTGGATTATGAGGACCTAAGAGCCTGCTATTGCAGTCTGTAACAACAAGTCTCAAACACAGCAGCCAGGCAGGGCTGAAGCTGGCCAGCTCCCTCCCCTCCGCCTCCCTGCTTCAGTGGAAGGAGAACAGGGCAGCTGGGGACAGCATGGTGGGCAAAGGAACAGGGAGCAGGGAGGGGAACTGAGGATAGAGAGGGAGGACTCCAGTCTAGTTACACTACAGTTGGCATGATTGAAGCTAGCCACTAGTGGCAGGACCCTCCTGCCTGTCACTCAAAGTGACCATAATTAAACAGTCCTTAATTGTGCTTAACTTTTACCCTCAATGTAAGTTAAAAGATAAGTTATATATAAATTCTCCCCCTGTACAGTTGTCATGGAATGGGAAATTAGCTACAGAGACCAAAACTGTTTTTGTATCAGACTGTAATCATGTTTTTTCAGTTGTAAAGTTGGGCATTTTAACATGGAAGTCTATGGGGAATGATTCCCTTTTGGAGCCAGCCTCAAGTTCCATCTCTGTCTCCTTTTATTTCACAAAAAAAGTCTTAATTTTGTTTGAGTAGTGGTGTTGTGAAGGTCATGTGGCCTCAACATTTTCAAAATCCTGCTGGCAGGTTGTGGTGTAGTTTTTTTGTTTTGGTTTGTTTTGTCTTTTTGACTCTATATTCCCTCCTCACTAGGCATTCATTTCTGTTTTTATTGTTATGCACATCAGGGGTCATTGGTCTGGAGTCAAATTCCTTGTATTTTTGATTATACTTGGCAATAAGTTTATGCTTATGCTTATGCAAAGTCACTCTATCATCAGCTTCTTTTGTTTTACCAAATGAGCTATGGGAATCTCACATTGCATTCTGGGCCCTCTGATTTTTTTGGCATATTAACAAATGTGCACTTGACTCTTAAAGGCTTTAAGTGTGTGTGCAAGTCTGGATCCTAAAGTGTAGAAGCATTCTGAGAGCTCATCAGGGTTTTTCTCAGTGTGACAGCAATCAGAAAATGTTTTTCACTCACATTATGAAGGCAGACCATGATATTAATGCATGATGTGAGATAGCTTCTAGTCAACTGTCCACATAAACACACAATGAAACATCTAACTGCTAGTCCTGTCTTTAGGTTCAGTTTTAACCTTTTTTTGGAATGCCATCTAGTGGTAAAAATAGCTAATTTGGGGTGGAGAAGTGAATAGCATTTATTTACAGCATCTATGGCCA